AAAGAGTCGTGCCACTGCCTTAATTCTGACTGCTTCATAGCGCTCAAGTTTATGACTCTTCCTCTCACTGGAGGAGTCTGATGTTCTGAGCACCTGTCTTGGCTGACAACCTATTCCGTAAACTGGGTCACTCATTGGTAGAAGGGATGACAGGAGGGCTAATATAAGAAAGCGACTTTTAATTATATTATAAGAATTTAAGAGTTCACGAAGAAAAGACAGCTCATTAAAAATCAGGGTAGAGCTTGTCAGCGATGCAGGGATTGAGAACAAAAAGGAAAACTTCTAGAGCCCCAAAAATGGGGTCCTTTTTTACTCGTTGGTTTTCGCGTTACGCGCGTCCCATCGCTGATCTCATCAACGCTAAGCTACTCTCTGCTAGAGCGGCTAGAGTCAGACGGCGAGCGGGTGGGCGTTTCGGGCTACGAGCACCGCGGTATGGCCCTGGCCGCTGACATACACTTGGCTACGAAACACGCATCGTCCCACACGCTTAGAGGGCCGATCTGCCTGTCCACTAGGTCTATCTTCCTTCTTCGATCTTTGCCCTTACCGTGGATTCCTCCTTTGAAAAAACTAGGTAGCAATCCATTCCTACAGTATCTACAGTGTGATGTTATGATGATGACCATAACCTCCTTCTCTTCTACCCTGAACAGTGATCAAATTTATTCCTTAGTTCTGGTTACCTTTGAAGTCATGGTGCGTAGCTTTTAGGTGGCCGTCTAGCCTGGTAATTGATTTCACTATCAGTTATCATTTAGGACGACGAAAAATGTCAGCCAACAAAATTTTCCGCGGCTCATTGGCATGGATTCGCCCTCAGTGAGCCACATCCGAAGCTGTCAGCTGACGTCACGCTCGTCGCCTCGCTTTCAGTGCTTTTATTACGGTTACTGATATTTTAGCCATCGAGCTTCATAATTGCTCCTAATTAAGGGTATATCTTACATAATTTATGGTTAAAGAATAGTAAATAGATACAAACTAAACTTCAGCATTTTTTCCTATTCCCCTGCTTTGGGCTCAAAAAACTAGTCTTTCTGAACTTTTTTTTACCTTTTCTCTGACCTTGTTTCTTTTTCTTCATTGTTATTGTTCCATAGATCGCGTTTATTTTCGAGGAGCGAATAAAGTTCTTAAAGAATGGTATTTTAGAACGTTTCTGTAGAACGCAAATTGATTTCTGATCGGTAGTCATACGTCTGTCGAAGTTGGAATGCTTTTAAGCGAGAAATTACGATAAAATTTCTGTGCAGCATGGAAGAACGAGCAGCACTTCAAGCAGTAGCTAGAGCCCAAAGGAATCGAGATGTGGCCTTTTTGTGACTAAAGGTGCGCTCGTTGCAGCGCCCTGGGGCTGCCAATCCTTTCTGAGCTCCGCCTCCGCCTGTGCTCCGCCCCTCAGCAGATCGCTGTTCGATTATCATTCTGATAAGGTATGCCACTTCGAGCGCGTATCCAATTTTTTTCTCATGGAATGCTATATCAATCAAGGTATGATCTCTGGTGGTATGATGGCAGCTATGGTTTAACGAGTGCCGACGACCTCTTAGTTGGTTGCCAACTCGTCCATTATCGGAGGTCAACGGGCAGAGGAAGTGGTCCCATTTTGCGCGTTTTTGACGGATTTCTTTGCTTTTTTCGCTACTAGGGCATTATTCAGCATCTTCACTTCCACTATGAGCACAACAGAATCCTATCGCAATCTCTCGCTTTAAGAAGTTGAATTAGGCTTAATAACTTCGTCGGCAACATCGTTCTCTGGATTGATCTCTCGAGGCCGTCGGGATGGGGAACACAACGCGGAGTTGAGGTTGAGGACGGAATTGAACCATACCGTTTTCGTTCTACTTTGTGCTGCATAACACGGAGCACTGATTGCGATCAGAGCCAAGCTAGGCCGATTTGTTGATTTGGTTGTTGGTATGGTTTGGTCGCAGTTAAGGAAGGTTTTTGCGATAAGGTCGGAGCGTCGGAGAAGGGTACTATTAGGTGGAGGTCACGCAGAAATCCCTAAGAGTGAGCACGCGAATCTGCAGTGAAAGAAACGTTGCCCCAGGCCAACTAGCATGACTGTCCCGCGCGCTAGTGCCCAGACGCTTTTTCTCAAGGTCTGAGACTTCTGCTTATTTGGGCGAGGGAGAGTTAGCTTGAGGGGGCATCACCGATCAGATTACCAATGCGGAAATCAACAGGGAAGGAAGACTTCTATTCTCGGGTTCTCAGCCGTTTCTTATGCTTTTCTTCTGGCATCACTCACCATCGTTAGTTCTAGTGACCTTTTCATGTGAGGTCCGCTGAAAGCGCTGTTTATTGAGAATGCATGATTCCCTTATTCAGCTCAAACGATTCGAACATGCTCTGGATGCTCCGAGCTACGAATACCGTAGGCTAGCGAAATAACGTGACGAATGACGCCGCTGAAGCTGTACAGTAAGAGGTGCGCACTGAAATCGGGTATAACGTCGCGCTGTGATCACCTCTCCGATTCTGCACTCCTTCCTGCCTTAACCAATGCCTCATACCTGGACTCTGCGCAGGCAGGACGATCATGCAGTCTGCGTTATCGAGTCGTTGTGGAGAGGACTATGCTGTGGCAGTCACTCGATACATGCAGGTGCATGAAAGGGAATCGACGTTCTAAATTACGCCGATACTGCTAAGGAGTAAAGCTCAGGATGGATTCGGGAAAGGGCGAATATCGGTTGATGGGTACTCTTCAACGGCTTGTGAACATTTTCGCCTACATGACGCTCTCCGCGCGACGTTCACACTCGCACGGGCGGAGATGGGCTCTCCAGCGTACCTTACTCCGGCGCTACGTCTCGCACCTGCACAGCCATGTGTCATTTTCGACCGTTTTTCCCCTGGTTCGGGAACGTCATGCGATTTTCTGTTAACCGTTGGACCAGAGACGGCTACCGACTGGATCCCTCGGGAAGTCAAACGAACACCAGGACGACGACCGCCCGGTCCGATGGTCGGACTTTTCAGTTCAGTTCAGCTCTCCTTCCATCAGGAAAGTAACTTGATTTCTTCTGGGAAAGTAAGATATTCTTCAAGAGCCGCAGAATGTGATCGTTTTTAGGTGACAGCAAACCCGACTGAATTCCATCGAGGTGACATTTATTACATTTCCAAACGATTAACACTACTGCATGTATACGTTAATATGATGTGCTATGCGCTATTACAGAAAAAAAAAGAACTTATATCAAAATCAACAATCAAATCAGACGAAATAATAAACCCATAGCTAACATACGATAATCAATTAATCAATCAATCAATCAAATCCAATAGAAATCGATGACAAAACAACTTGAGACACACGTCTATACACTCGGTAAATGAGAGGAGACAAATCAAAACGATAACAGTGATAACATCGAATATCTGAAAGAGATGAAATGTGTAGCTTATTTACAAGCCAATATTTGAACGAATACTCGATTCGTAATAGAATGGGGTCTATAAAAGGGAGAGCCCCATGATAGGTTGTGCATAAGCAAACCCGCGCGCGTAATTCCAGACCACGTTAGGGTGTCATACAGTAGACTGTGCAACTAAGCACGCCGCGCCGCGGCCGCCCGCTTCACATTCCGTCCATCTCATGCGCGGCCTTGCAGCACTCAAGAAATGTTTCCGTATTCGTTCAAGTACGAATGGTCATAAATATGTACTTAAACTACTTGAGAGGTTATTTTCATCGCTTATTACAATCATTTTTTGAACTGACCAGAACCAATCAGCGGCAGGAATGCGCCACTCCAGGCCAGCTTTTAAGAAACATAGTAAAAAAAATCACACACAACCTCGATGGTTTCAAAAAAAGTACAACCAGAAAGACTTGAACTAGGAATCTAAAGCATTTTCAAAAGGAGCAACCGATTACAGAATCAATAATCGATTATTTCAATTAACACAGCAATCTTATTTTCACTTGCGATATCGCTAGAAGTCTCAAGAACCCGATTAAAAAAACGGGTCGGTTAGCTCTAACTGTATTGACCCGCTCTAAAGACATCTACAGTAACGGATACAGTAATCTTGACGATGCCTGATTTTATTAATGGGGTATTATTAGTCCTGACTTTATTCCTTAGGTAAGTACAGAAAAATGACTTGATACACGGTTACCGTCAATAAGTAAGACATGATGATACACCTGCGACACGTCCAAAGGGGGCGGAGCGACCAGAACTGCGACTTGGTCCTTAGCGAGTCATTGTTGCGTTCTTGTTGATCGCTCTAATTGCTGCACGAACTTTGGACTTCGTCTCAAAAACACCCCACGTCGGGAAACGAAAGTGCAGAATGCTCTCGAACCAATCACAGCGATCCTTTTCTTGGTCCTAAACGAGAAAAATATTAGTTACCCTCGAAAAGAACATTTCGACGAGGCAACCAGAAGACGCGTGCGTTTGCAACGCGGCGTGACTGGAAATGTGACACAATTTCAACCAACTGAGCATGCCCCTACACTAGAGCAAGCGCAAAGCTGGGCGACGTACTGCCTGTGATCCGCTCCGCGACCGCAACGCATCATCACAGAACACTTAACAATTTGTCAAAAATAGCTGTAAAAATACCTTATACAACGCCTTAATGTTATCCTTGAAGAGTATGCGTCCCATTGCTCGCGCATATTGCTCGACGTCCTTCCTCTTGGCAGCCTCATAGCATTCAATTTCCTCGTCTTCAGTCATGAACGGATATGAATCGAATGGCTCAGCTGAACACAAAGAAACAATCGAAGTTCTTCAATAATCTCTCGAAAATCAAAGAGTGGGGAGTGCACCATGCAATCGACTTCAAGTCGCAAAAGTATTGCAATGCTTACGGTGACAGAAATCTGCCGATTTTTTCGTCCCTGAGGACAAGTTCAGTGCAACAAAGGTAACCGCATCAGAAGGGCAAAGGCTTACAAAGACTGCAGAAAAAAGTAGAAAGGAAACAAGAGGGATCAATAGTCAAAGTGTTTTCCTTTGCGGTCCATGACTTAAAGGCAGTGAACACATTCAATGGAAGGGGCGTGGTTGTGATGAGTTCTATGCGTGCAAATGGGTAGGCGTTTGAAGATGATTCTAAGCGCACTCCTTCAGCGCCTTTCCATCAATTAGCGATAATGACATCTTTACGCTCCGCTTTAATTTCACCGCGCTCGTTGCCTTTTAAATCCACCAATGAAGTTCACGACATTACTCATCCCCCCAATCACTGAGCTACTAGTAAAAAAGGAAAGGGGAAAGGTTACATATGGACGCAATAGAAGGATGGATATGCACCAAACTAATCCACCCAGCTACTTCGTAACATGGCGCGGAGCCTTAGTTATCCAAGGCACACGTTCTCCTACCTCTCTCAGAAACTTGCCAGTGACGCATCTTTTTTTCTTCATCCGCTTCAACCGATATAAGTCTTTCCTTGGATCCAATAACTCTTCCATGCACCCACTTCGAAAACGAGTAACCATATTTTTAAAATAACAAGCACCAGAATGGAAAACAGTGGCAATAGGAATTTCTGAAAAAAAAAATCAAGGAAAACTGGCGAAATGAATTTATCATTTTTGACTGCATTTGTGCTTCAACATTGAGAGTCATGCAGAAGATGAAAGCTCACCAAGGAAAAAAGAATACGATAATGGAGAAGAGAGGAAGTGAAAGAACAAAGAAAAAGATGCCGGTAACTCACCTCTATGGCCTTTGGCTCGAGCACTGATTCTACTGCTCTCCTTCGTTCTGTTTCGGCTGGCTCCTCTTTCTGTGAGTCCTTATCTTTTTCCTTATGTGAGTCTTTATCTTTTTCCTTATGTGAGTCTTTTTCTTTCTCTTTTTGTGAGTCCTTCGCTTTCTCCTTTGATGAGTCTTTTTCCTTTTCCTTCTCCTTTTCCTTCGGTGAGTCCTTCTCCTTCTCCTTGTGTGGGTCTTTCTCTTTCTCCTTATGCAACTCTTTTTCTTTTCGTCCTCTGCATCCCCGCCTCTTTCTCTTTCTCGGGCCGATTTTTGGAAGATTGAGCACGTTTACTGTTGACAGGCGTCTCTTCGTCCTTCTTCTTATTCTCCTTATCCTTCTTCGAGTCCTTTTTCTCTGATGAACTTTTCGCACTGGACGTAACTGCCAACGGCTTGATTCCAGGACGAGTTTGGCAGCCTCTAACGCCACATTGACTGCGAAGAAATCGCGCAAATCTATTCTCTAGGTCGCTATTTCGACACATCTCCGCCACTTGGAAAAGCATGTTCGGGATCGAAACGGATTAAAAAGCATTTTCCGCGAGAACTGCGCTGCCCTTATCACACGAAATACGATCAGCCTTAGGTCCCCCTACTCGTCATGACCATCGAAAAAGACGAACATAAGCGTTAGTTCTCGTAAAAAATACTAATCGTCACACTACAAGACATTGATCGATTTTACCACGCGAATGATTAATTTAAGGAACTCGTTTCTGATTGGTAACGTGGGGGAGCATTCTTTATGCCGGAAGATCTCCTTTAACAGAGCCACATACGATCACGAATCCCATCCCATTGCATTTCTATTTTTCTATTGTTATTATTTTACAATCGTATCGTACTTAGCTGCTAGAATGACTTATGGTATCCAAGCAAGCCTAGGGCCCATGCCAGACTTTGCGAATAGAGCGATTCGCAAAGTCTGACATCGGCCTAAGCTCTCCAACACAGCATTGCACCTCACATCATTTTTTTTTCGCTACTGCAAATTTCTGGAAGTACGACACTCTTGTCTCATTCCGACGTTTTTATTCCTTCAGTGACTAAATTTCTAAAATTCTGCCCCTCGCCTATAAATTTAGACACATCTCTCCCCTCCACCAAATGAATGAAATTTAAAAATAATAGATACGTTCCTGCTTTCGCGTTCTTCGAAAACTTTACTTCGAACGCGAAAATCTTCGCCACCCGTCCCTGAATTCTGCATCAGAATTACCTTATAATAATATCTTATCTTAGCGCCTTCCCCAACTCCAACACTGCCCTTACCACCAAATATCTGTACGAATCCCTTCCCAGCGTCACATGGCCCATTTTCAGACGTGGCGGAGTCGATGTCCATCTCTACCGTCAAATCCGATATAGGTTTCGCATGTAGCACCCAACTCACTTCTCTATACTCTCTCCAAGTACAGCCGGTGATCAAATTTACCGAACGTAAAACTCACTGTCCTGCTTTATTTCTATTGATGCCGTCTTGTCACGACGTCTCACCTGTCGTACATGGTGCACTATCGACGAAGCGAATGCGCCGATCCACACCTCGTGCAGTCCAAACACTTTGCCATGATCCTTGATCTATTACAGACACCTTGGAGCTAAATGAAGAGCTTGTGTACTAGAATAAGAAAACAGCCAACAGTATTACATGATCACAAAGTGTTTCCACTAATCTTCCCAATCCACCACAAGATCAACTGCAGCGCATATGGAATAGTGTAGGTTAATAGAACATTCTTCGATATCTTGAAAAAATCTCATGTCATTTCACACGAAAGCATCACTTCATTATTATTGTCCCTCTCATCCAACGCTCTAACGGGGTGGGCGAAATAATACAAGACGTCTGTCTCCGTTATGTCAGCCCTGATTATTCACCTCTGCTCAATTCAAACAGAATGTCTCAACTAGTATCCGAAGAGACCATTCATTTTATAAAGAACCTTCCATAGTGGCCTGCCTACGAGTTATACGAAATTTGCCCTGGAAACATGGTGCACTGGTCGAGCTCAATGGGGTCTTCGAAGGATCGTGTACCATAACGACCTTTACTGGAAAGCTAGTTCGAGGGGATTTGCATAGTGGGAGCTAATGCCTCTAGAAAACTATCCAACATTAATCGATTCACGAAATTGCGTAAGAGCTTCAGGCTGAAGCAGTTACGGTAGGCCCTCCTTGAGCTTGACGACGGTGACAGATGACGTCATATTCTGAAGACGGTGAGGGCAGTGAAGGAGGGCCTGCGTTACTTATAGAGGGACATTTAGGGAATATTTTGCTGAGGAACAATCTCTGCGAAGAAAAAAGGGCCGAAGTGCGACATGGCAAAATGTCCTTTTTTGGCCCCCCCCCCCTGTATTCCCAACAAGTCAATTATAGCCCTACCGTCTTTCCTCCAGATAGTCGTGCACCTGAGTACTTTGACTGGTATACCATAGGCTTTCCTGGAAGGTTAAGAATACTATGATCCAAGTAAGCCAAGTAATCCCGCAAATCGCTGCAGGCCAAGTATGCAGTGGAATGTTGTTTTAATTCGGAATAGGGGCCGAGTGCATGGCGCATTTTGAAGATGATAGCAAACGCCAAACGCATTGAACCATTAAAATTGCTTTCAATCAAATCAATAAAGAAGAGAAATTTAAAAGGTGGGGCAGGTAACGTACTTTGAAAAATAGGTGAGGAGTATCGGGAAAGAGTAGTTTAGCCATAGCTTCAGCATAGACATAGGGTAGTCCGTTAGAATCACGGAAGGCTGCTTCTTCAAGTTCCTTCGGAAAGTATGGAAATTCATCGACTGGAAAAGGAACAATAAAATATAGTTTTTAAAAAATTAGCCTTTAAACTAACCTTGTCCATCTTTTCCAATAATTTTAGTGCGATTCCGATTGCAAGCAGCTGCACAAACTTTCCAGCGCTGATCACGTTTGAATTTGTCAGCAATGTAAAACCTCCGATCGATACATTCTCGAAGCCAGTCTTTCTTCTTCGCATCCTGCAAATACGATTCTATTTTCTTTGACAAGGGAATAAATAAACAGGCTCAAGCCAACTTGTTGTGTCAAACTTAGCGAATCGCTCGATTCGCTAGCGTCCGCAGCCGCTCCGCGGCCAGCGAATCGTTCTACTGGCTGGTACTGCAACGCGACCGCGGACGCTAGCAAATCGCTAGCAGCCAATAGCCCCATTTGGACATTTGACATCGGCTGGAGTGTGACACAAGCCCCGGTTGGAAGGCGAATTTTACGATGAAAAGACAGTCCCTTGGGAAGTAAAATAGATATGGTCAGTGATGTACGTAAGGAGAAAAAAAAACTGAGTAAAACGGCTTAGAGCCCGAGAAATGGAATTCTTTCTTTTCCCTTTGATTTCCGCACTGGCTGCTCAGCTCTCATCGACGGGCTGTGCGCGCCTCGTCCAACTGTCAACATCTGCTCTTTGCTGAAGGGCTACAACGAGAGGAGAGCTACAGCGCCATGAAGCGGCGCCAATCGCCCGCGGGGAGGGGAGCTAATGCCTAAAATGACGGTCTGCGTGTCGGCTCGCACTCTTGAAAGGTCCGCCTGCTTCTCCTCTTCTTCGACCGTCATCACTATCATGAAATCCTCCCTTGAGCCTTGCAAATGTGTCACGTAGATCGAACTCAATTTACTGGAGCGAGGCGCACTTATGCATTAGGATGCTACCCGACATACAGCCTGACGGTCGTGAAGTGTAGCAACACGCTTCGATTTCGGACCGTCGACGGAAATCGTCCGTGGAGACGATCCTCATATAATTCTTCACAAACAATGGACGCAAAAATCGTCAAACACGAGGACGCTTATAAGAGGAGTCGGAAATGCGTCGAGAAGAACTGACACAAGCGACGGAAGGTTGGCAGGCTAGAAGAATTGCGGATGAATTTGCGCCGGAAGAATTGGAGAACGCGGAATGATTAAGTGGTGTTTACGATTCAATGCTTCACGTTTCCACGAAGAGCCTGTGCTGGCCGATTCGTATCTAGTTCTTTTAGTCGATGAAATATCCTGAATCTTCTTCTTCGCGAATCAATCACAATGAAAACTCTTTTCGCAGATTTCGCCATCTATAAAGCCACCCCCCCCCCCCCCCCGCCCCCCCCCCCCCCCCCCCCCCCCGCCTCGGTACTGTTACCTAACCCTTATTGTGATGCTCCTATTTTCTATTTCCCCAGTCTATGTATTTATTTTTTTGGCAAATTCTAAAAATCTTCGGTCGTAAAAAGTAAACAAGACTTAAAGCAACAGTCCCAGCAGGGTGGGCGTGGTTGGAAAACGGCTGGAATCCCATCGGCCGAATTCCCACTTCGGAGCTGTTCAGCCCCTAGTCAAGAACGTAAGAAGTGTGACTGAACAAAAACTCCCTTGGAAAGCTGCTAGGCAGGGAGCTGAAGTGGGCGTGGTCGGAATCGGCCGAGGGGATTGCAGTCGTTTTCCGACCACGCCCACCCTGCTGGGACTGTTGCTTTAAGGAGATAGTCCGACCGAAGATCATTCGTGAAGGAAGACACGTATTCATCGAGATTGATCATAAAAAGAGTGCATTTAACCCAATGCCTTTTCCATTGTGGCAAGTCGGTCGTCTAAAACTGACCAAATTGCTACGTCCGAATGACTGTCCCGATACAAAGGGTACACTAACGAGTACTTAGAAATTTACAAGAACTTCCGAAGAACCTTAAGCAGTCAGACATGAAAAATTACAAATCTTGCAATTATGCGTGCGGTCGCGTTGCGCCAAGAAGCAATTCACTTGCACTGCGAGTAGCAGTGTGAAAGCGCCTATTTCAACCAGACATATCAAGTGGTTCAACACAATTTTAAGCGAAAATATTCTTCACAACAATTCCTCTTACCCTGCTCATTGAGAGATATCTGACCATTTCAAACTTCTGAATAACACACGAGAAACTTCACCTATCGGCGACCGTAATCTGACTTCTGACGTATACGAAGCAAGAAAAGAGAAGAAAAAGTGAGAAAATTCAGGTGGAACCTGTTCACTTGAAGAATTATGCCAGGATCCTTCGAAACAGCTTCACAAACAATGACATGAACTCAGCGTATTTCACCGGGTCCTTGTTAGCCTTACTGTAACATTCCTCCTCGTATTCACGTGGCAGATACGTACATTCGACTGAAAAATAAATGAACTAATAGGAAAACGATAAAGGATAATGCGATCAGTCCTTAATGACCACCTTAATCCTGAACGCGCCTCGCATGTTACATCTATCCGAAATCAAAGAGGTGTTCAATGCCCCTGAGATTTTCACTATGGGAGGCATCAAAAATGTTGCGACATTTATATCGATTCTACTGCATCGAAACAGTCTTCCAATCAATTTCCGTTTTACAACCGATTAACGCCACAATGAAGGTTTGTCGTGGTTTTGGGTTTGGGTAGGGTTTTGACATGGCAAGGTCTAATCCAGTCTATTTCGCACTTTTTGCGTAGGTAATCACGTTCCGCCGTAGCGGGTCGCGAAAGCGCTAACCAAGATACCTGCCGATCCTCGTCCAATCAATCAATATTCAAGGTAGCCACGAGCTAGCCTGCGATTAAGTGATTGTTGCGATCGATATTAAGATTCCTTTCAGAGAAATCGCCGAACGCCCAAGCGCCAGATCGCTCGAACCCATAATTAATGAACGCTGCCTACAGACCACATAAGCGCCGCGCTACCGCGCGCGCCTCATGTCGCAAAACCCACATCTCATGTTCCTGTGAAACTGCAGGGAAAATCGAATAAGTCATAGAACAAAATTCATTATTTTTTTAACACATGGCCACAACAGCACAACAAGTAGACAATAAAGTATTAACCTTCTTTCTGCTTCGGCTTGTTCGCGGGTCCCCGTTCGGAATCCGCATATTTTTATTGATGGCTGTCGAACAGTTCTTCCATTTTAAGTGATGTGCATTACGATCGCCAGAAGGGAAACGGTAGTCGACGGCTTCGTGAATCCACAGTCGCTTAGCCGGATCTTGATCCTTAACATTTCAGCATTTATGGCAGCACTTCTTCATTCTCTTGGGCTACCAGTAAAAAAGTACAGCACAAAAAATGATGCTTAGCACCGCCAAAGAGAATGCTTTCAATGTCACAACTTGAGACATTTCAGGCAATATGAGTAAAAAACGCCGGGGGCAATACCTATGACATTCCCCCTTTTTAGCACGACCTTTGGCCCAATTTAGGTAGAAAATGGAAACCACACGACATGCTACTTTAAAATGATCGGAATAGCTAATGCGTTCGGACGAGTACAAGCAGAAGAAGTCTGAAATCTAGAACCCGTTCTCCACAGCTGCCTAATTGTAAACTGACAGATCATTATAGACAGCACTGGAGAACGGGTTCTCTGACGGTAAGTCCAATCTCAGAAATTAATTTGCTATTCTCGGATCATAAGAATAAAGGAAAGTGGCAAACATTTTCTGAGCTCAGATGAAAATCTGCCTCTGGCCACGATGTGGGATGCGATCGACCAGCCCAGATGCGTGCAGACGCGCTGCGGTACCAAGAAGAATCCGTCCTTGTGAGGGTGAGTTCGAGCCATTAGTGGGACTATAAGCGACTACAACAATCATTTTCTAAGCGCAAGGAGTGTTGAGGATCGAGGATAAATTGATTTAAAGCAACAGTTCAGGAACGGTTTCGCGGGAAAAAACCACCAATAATGAAGTTGTAGATGAAAACCAGACGATTAATGTATGAAAAACTGGAAAAAAACGTCGGGGAGGGTCTTAGACAGGTACTCTCCCTCTGCCGCTCAGCAATGGATAAAGACGCACGTTGGACGAGTTGTCTGAACGTGCCCGCTGTAAACGCGCTCCATTTTTCAATCAATTTTCCCTGTGGTCCCAAAACGAGCACGATTGCCGACGCGTCCAATGACGGCCGGCAAGGGGGCGGGATTGGGGAAATCCCCAAGAACACCCATGTTTGAGGGACTTTCCACCCTGTTTTTGAGTTTCTGAGGTAAGTTCGTTTATTATTTCCACTGCATATGTTCTTCACTAGGGCTCGTGTATCCCTCAGTAGTAGTGGCATTGAAATTTTCGGACCCTCCCTGAACTGTTGCTTTAATAATTGATGAGAAAGTGTGATAGGGGTAAGAGCGCTTGAGGTGTTATCGATATTTCTCCTCTCTTCAGTCGCGCTATTGCCAAAGATTTCTCCTCAACAGCTTAGCTCCGCTCTCAGCTATCACATTAACCTCTTTAGGTTAAATTTAAATAGTCCGCAAAAAAGAAACGCTGGAGCAACAGTAAAAAGCCATCAATTGCAGTACGCAACGTGCCTGCACGCGAATGAATTCGCTCGCCTTATCCCTGAATTCATTTTGAGAATAAACGTACAAACGAAAAGTAAATTACTTTGAAATAGAGGTCAAGTGTGTCCGCGAACAAGACCTTGGCAAGATTTTGCGCATACGCTGAGGCGGAATCGTTCGATGCCAGCAGAATCTGCTGTTCTTCTTCTTGTGATATGTACGGATAACTCAAAACTGAAAACACGATGTTTTTCCTACTGTAGCAACATGTCTACGTCCTTGAAAATTCACTAACTCTTTCCGGCGCGTCCAACATATTCTGAAGATGCCACCAGCTTTATCAGTTTCTGTCCAGTCCTCATCTTCCTCGTACCGACCACGCTTTGAAGCACGCCTAAATTGAAATAGTTCTTTGTTTCAGGTTCCAATGAAATAAAGAAGCTCGACATATTTTAGCACCAAAAAATGAAACAGGAACATAATATGGTAAATAATTTTAGCATTGAAGATATGGGCGGAAGTGGTGTTAGCGGCAATTGGCACGTACCACGCGAGCGGTCCGGGGATCAAATCCTGGGTCGTTAGTCGCGTCCGGCCAACGCGAACCTTTGCCACAAGCCTCCGGGCCATCCAGGGGGGTCGGTTAATTGGTACCAGACTTGTCTGGGAGGATAAAAACACTGACTTGTACATCGGCTGGCCCCGCAAGTCATTGTATAGGCCACATCGCATTCAAACGCCACTGCGAATGTACAAATGGAAGTAGAATGCGTGCCGCATCCCAGACGGGATTGATCAACGGCAAAAGCTTTATCCTTTATCTTTATTGTAGATATACTGTTTCCCGAGTTGCAATGTGTCGTAATTGCACACATAATGACCGATACGGTACCAATGAATGAAGAGCTTCAAGTAAGCACACCAATGACAGGATTTGTGCATGACCCATCACCTGGCACCGACACTGCCGAGAATCTGATGGAAACGTGTGCTAGCTTATCACATTGGACGATAAAATGAAAATCAGTGGTGCGGTTTCCCAGAAGATTGACACCTTCCCACCAAATCGAAATTTGTGCCATGGTCAGGGTAAGCGGTTCATCTTTCACTTTCGTCTTACCTTGAAACTGCACTCTACAGTGATTGGTTGAGTTGGAATCGCCGTTCGAAAGGATGTACTCATAATTCCAGAGGCAAGAAGTAGGAAGACCCCCATGATGATCAGAAAGGCGGATGATACAATTAAAAATCAGAATTTCTAGTGCCTCAGTGGGAGAGCATGCCGGCGTGGAAAGGAAAATAGGATAAGAATGTGAATTAAAAGTTCGGAAGTCAATCGCGGTTCCCAAGCAGATCTACTTGAAGTAGGCGTCAGACTTTGCGAACAATCGCTAGCTACTCGCGCGACTCGCAAACGGTTCGAAGTGTACGAGGGATGCGCAAGCGGTTACAGTGATGCCCCAACGCTGTGGGCCTACTGCTTGTACGACTAATGAAGAAAAAAAAGAAAAAAAATAGTGTTCATTCCGACAAAAAAAAGTTTTTTTCAAGACCTGGATTGTTCGAAGTTTCACTTTTTTTAGCCCAAAACTTTAAGCATATTCATATTTCACTACACACAACACACACATGAAAGGTTAAAAAATAAAAACTCGTTTACTGTGCACTGTGCCTTTAAGAGCGATGCACACCTCAATATATGAGTGAGATAATGAAAACTGAAGATAATACAGAAATAAATTCTAGATTCCCGAAATCATTTCTCTTGAAAAAGTGTTGGGGAGAAGAAACTCTATGTTTACTTAAAACATGCAGCAAACCCGATCTGAGACATCTCGTTTGAGTTGATGGGCTTAGCCCAAATAGTGAAAGAGGTCACAAAAAAGAAGAGTAACAAACCGCTGCTCTCGTGTTGGGTATGATTGTCGTCGTTTTCTCGCCTCGGTAAGTCGATCCATATGACTGAACAGCTCACTTGACCTGGTGATTCGATTCGTAATTCGACGTATGAACTTTGATCCGAGTTTTCGAGTTAGAGCACGACTGT